TTGAACAGCTACTTAGTGACAGAATCAAATGAATATTGTTAGATGAGTATTTTAATGCTGCAGCATTTTCGCAATTGGTCCTGTCATAAAGTAGTCGCAAACTGCCTTAAAATAGTAATCAGTCTGAAACCAGTTGAGCAAGCCAATGACAGGAAGTTGTTAATAACTTGCTTCAAAATTTACCTGTGAAATACGGAGCTTGACTACTCTTGTAAAAGCAGAACAGAAAGTAAACGACCTTTGTAGTGCAATCCATCAGTAATGAAAAGTTACCACCTTTGGAAACCCGCAACCTCTTCTGAGCTTGCAACAGACCTTAATGCACCCTTCGGTTATTGGAGTCAACCTGTTTTAACATGTAGGCAATGCCCTTCGGTGTAACTAAAACTGTCTCTGGAAAGCCTGGGCCCTGGGTCTCACGCTCTGCCCACCTAGTAGCAGGACCGCCCGCAGCCTCACAGGACGTGTGACCATCACCTGGGGAGGACCAGGACAAGTCTTCCTGTTTCAGCCATCCTAGTGCACCTTCAAGACCCTCCAGTTTCCCAGCCTCACCCGAGGGCCACAGAGCCCGATCTGCGCGGGCGAGGTGGATTTAGCCTGGTTAGAGTTAAGATGGTATCATTAGCTGCGCACAGCGTGACTTCCCACTAATCCTCTCTGCAACTTACAACAAGTTTAAATGTCCATGCATGATGTTATTAACTGGCTTTAGTAAGTGCTTAAGACCCAGATCTCTTTTTAAAGTAATTTCTGAACAAGTTCTACTGTATCCATCCAAGAAGGAGATTAATTAATAATTCCAGCAAATCTGAAAGGGGGAAGATACATCCTGAGTCCCTAAAAGGCAATGGGTGTAGAGGTGAAAGTGATGGAGGGAAGGGGCCACAGGGGAGTCCGCTCACCAACTCTGGCTCTGTATTCACAAAACTTCCACCCTCAAGTGCTAGCCGGGTGGAGGAGGCAAGGGGAGGGCGTGGGGGGAGGGGAGGGCGAAAACAATTTTTCACCAAGTTAAAAAAAAAAAACAGGTTTAGGGAGGCGCGCACTGTTGCTTTATCAATGATATTGATCACACCCCGGAAAGATGCCTGGGCAGAACTTGAAAAACTGAGTGTCAGCAAAAGCAAGCCCCTTAATCACAAGTTGCCTGCTAGTCTGAGGAAGGGGCCCTGGAAAAGGGGTGGCAGCCGCGAGATGCCTGTCTCCAACGAAAGTGCTGGCGTGACTAAATCCCGACGCCACCCCCATTTCCAAGTCCAACCCAGGGATTCCCAAGCAACCGCCGACCCGAGCAGACGCAGTGGCGGGGTCGAGGCGGCTGGTCTGGGGCCGAGGGGCGGGCAAATCAAAAAGCACAGAACAACCCTAGAGCACGCAACCCTGCACGGCCGGCAGAGGCAGGCGGGTGGCCGCCCTCGCTCGGGGCCTGCGGCCTCGCGTCCCACAATCTCCAAGCCCTGGAGGGCGAGCGCCAGAACTTGTGCTCGCGCGCACCGGGGCGGCCTCCCAGCCCGCCGCCCCGGCCGCAGATGCTCCAGCCGCCTCGCCGAGCACCAGCTCGGAGCGCGCGCCGCTCACGGGAGCGCGCGCGCCGGCGCACCAGCTCCCGCGGCTGCAGCCCGTCTCCCGGGAAACACCAATCAGGCTGCCGCTTTCAGAGGGGGCCGCGGCGGCCGCGGCTGCGGGGGATTCGGGCTGTTGGCGGTCACCCGGGGGCGTCGTGCTGCCCGGCGGCGTCCCGGCCGCCGTCGCCGCAGCCTCTGCCTCGCCGAGCCACTTCCTCAGCCAGTCACAGAATCGGAAGCTGTCTCCGCTGGGCACCTCCCACGCCCGGCACCTTGCTCTGCGGTTGCTAAGCCTGGCTATTTTTAGATCTCAAGAATACGTAGTGCCCAAGCTCAGCTAAAACGAGTCAAACTCCAAACACAGTGATGTGCTTCTTTGAACAAATAGGGCTTAGAACTCCCTAGCTCCCTAAATAAAGTCGATTATTTTCACTTTTTTAAAAAGTCCTGTCCCCTGTGTCTGACAGTTGACTGCAAAAAGTCACAAGCTCCCAAGCCAAAGACGGGCTTCACCTCTCCAAGCAAGTGCTAGCTCTATGCTCTGATTGAGGGGTGACAGATTTTTTTTTCCTCAGCAGCAATTATAACTATATATTTTTCATTTCCATTCACTATCTTTAGAATTAATTCCACAGTACGTCGAACAGTTCCCGGAAGGTATGAAATGGGTTCTCTACGCAGATGAGAATGGCTTATGCTGATTTCTGTGCTAGGTTCTTTAACTTGGGCTAAATAAAACCTATGAACACAAAAACAAGATAACAAAGCTAGCTATTAAATCTGGAGACACTGAAGAACTACCTTACACGCCCCAGCGCTGTAGGACTGTTTAACTGTCTGAAATACTAGTGTTTAAACAATTGACCCGCTATTATAGATGTCTTTTTACTCAGTAACTTTTAAAGGACAGCTTCTCGCGTTGCCCATCTTAGCGCCTCCACATGCATCCCCTATCCAAATGCAACATCATATTGGGTGTGTTTTACTTTAATCAAGGTAAAGAAGTTTTAGCAAGACAGGGAAAAGGATATCAATATTCATAAGCCAAAATGGCATTTCCAGAGGTACAGATTCATAGGAAAACTAGACATATGGATACATCTAATACATTTTCTAGTCACATTGGAAAATAAAACGTTTTAATTCATCCCTCCATTTTTATCAAGCCAAAAATCTTGAAATGCTAACCTGTCTTGGACTGTTTATACGTGATCTATGAATAGAAAGGACACTTATGAACTTAAAATGTGTTCATTCTTATCTCTTATTCAAAGTGGTTTCTTAATTTTCATCAGACTACACAAAATCAAATTAGAATTTCATATTTTTCCAAATAAGAAAATCATTTTAATTTAAAAAATAAACACATAGAGCACCAGTAGTAGAAAATTTAGTGGTCAGGAAGACTTAAAGAAAGGCCACTTTGGGGAAATAATTCATTTTGAATGTAAACAATGCATTTATCTCATTACCATGCATATTAATGGTACCTTCAGTAAGGGTTTGATACTGGTGAATGGATCCATTCACATCCTGCAAGGATATTGCAAAAGTCTCCCTATATACCCTTTTTTCTCCCTCTAACCAATTTCCACTTTTGTTGTTGTTTGGGTTTTTTCTATATAAATGTGTTTCATGTTATATCCTTTACAATTCTATTATAGAGTGATTTTTCATTGTTAATTTTCTGGCATAAAGTGGGACAGGGGAAGTGAGTTGGTTGTATCTTTATATTTACTTTCACATGTGCCATTTTTATAGGCCTATTTCTAAGTATTTCATGAAAAGATTCTAGATGTCAAAACCTGCAGTTAACATTCCTGTTTGGAAATACACAAAATAATACCTTTGACGTTGGCAACTCAGATGTATTATTCAGCAAAACAGCAATTATTCATTGTTTTGCACTTACATGTTAAGAACTATGCGACACTTGGTGACACAATAACAAAATTGCAAAGTCAATTATATTTAAAATAGACATCCTAATAAAACATACACAACCAACTCCTTTTACTCTTCTTGAACTGTTTTGTCTCCTTTTTCTGACTGTTTACAGACAAATAGATTATGTGAATGTTAAACCTAAGTATAATAACTGATTTACACACATCATGAGAGAAGAAAAGTTAGAAAATGGGGATGGGTGTAATATAAAGGGAAGAGTATTCCTGGGGCCACCAGAACCCACCCAGGAAGGTGCCAGATGTTGTATATTTTTGGAAATATCCAACTACAGTGTTCTTTTGCTATGTCAGTCATAGTGGCAAACTTTGAAAGAGCAGTGTTTGCCAAAATGTAAAGCAAAATTTAAACTAGATTCATACTAGTAATGCTAAGCAGAAGTAAAAGCAATAAAACCCAAGTAGAGTGTGTTTATATTTAAGGAGAGGATTTCAGATGGGACTAGTTGTTTGTTTTATTCTACTTTAATTGCACAAGAAGTATTTTTTGTAACTTGAACTTCCCGATAATGAATTCCACTTCTCAACCCAGCCTGCAGCTTGAATTGAAGTTCCCATCAGAAAATTAAAATGTTTGTTCGGATAAAATAACTTCTAAATGAACTCTCTATTTCTTTTTCTTTCTTTTTGTATTTTCTGCAATGTAGCCCCTCGCAATGATATTAGTTCTAGTGTGGGAAAATATTATAATTGAGATCTGGTAAGTTATTTGCAGACTTCAAGTTTTTCTTTACACTGTGCTGACATTTAGTACAGCCCTGGTGAGGAAAACAATACTACCATTCATAGCTCTAGACGTAGATTTCAATCGACTTAAGCGGGCACAATGAAACTTGGTCATTCACTGGTTACCCATATTGTGTTCTCAAATTTTCTCTCAGCAAAAGTATAATGACTCAGTATTGTATGGTTGCATAGACAAGGGCTCGGAACAAGAGACACTAGTTTTGTCTGACGGTGTGAGAAAGTCGTGAAGGGATCTTTTCTTCCAGATGGTGTTAAATTCAGCTGCCTTTTTAACATTGGCCTTGCACAGCAATCTGCTGCTCCCCTTTCACAAAGACTGTGCTTGGTTCCCACTAGTTAACATGCATACTCACGCAACCTGCAACTTCACTCCAACTGTTTTACAATGCAGCGGTATGCTAAATAAACTTGATCCGGTTTCTGCCAATGTTAAAACTAGCTTTCAAAGAACTACTTAACTGATATTTACACTTCTTTTGACTTAAATGTACATGCCTTTGGAATATTTCAGATTTCAAAGAAATATCACCTTATTATAAGGTCATTGTAGACATTACCTCCGACACCCTTCAGACCCATGCTCAGATACAGTACCTCTCTTCAACACACACAAATAAAACAAAATGTCAGAAATTTGATGTGTAATAGAAAAAAGAAAAATTGGGACATGTTGCAGCAAGAGCAGTGGAACAGCAAAAAATAAAATGAAAATAATAACATTGAAATGTATTTTTATTGATCGATAAGTCATGTAACATTAGTATGATACAAAGCAAGTTTGATATGACAATGGTAAACACATAATTATAATATTGTTTATTTTCCTTAGATGTTATATTTAACATATTTGCATAAAAGACCAAGATGTAGGCAAAAGCTTCAGTAATTTGACTCCATTGAGTGCTTTCAGTAAACAATAGGTTTCCCCAGCAAACATCTTATTGCCTTAATTGAACCTCCTTGAGAAAGAAAACCACACACTTTGTAATGTAAATGTTAATTGTAGTAGACAATGGTTCTAGGTAAATAGCACCCCTGGACATGAAGTAAATGAAAGGAATACAGGCACTTAACAATGAAAGGTTGTTTGCACAAACAGTGCTTCAAATGTAAATAAACAAGGGTCTTCTCAACGGTCACTACAGTAGTAAAACTTTGGCACGTGTTCAGCAGCCAAATTGGGAATTTACGTTAATAAAGTGTCTTGGAGTTTCTAACTGAAACTAACAATGGTTTTACAGGCTTTTCAGTCTGTAAAGTCTTCTCAAGTCTTATAAAGAATTGAAGCTACAAAGAAAAACATACTGTTTTTTGAAGAAAAATTATGTATTTGGGATTTGGGGTTGTCAGCAACCTAGACCACATGGAAGGTAACGTGCCATTTTGGGCATTTGCTTATTGCAATGTCGTGCCTGTACGAATACTTGCTTGGTAACACAAGAAAAAAATGTAAGGACTTTTATGAGAAGATTACAGTGGGGACTTCCAAAGAGCCAAAGTTTTTGCTAAACATAGTCATTTTTAGATAAAATGCAAATGACTGTTTAGAACACATCTAGCTGGGACTATGCCAAAACAACTTTTATCATATTGTTATTGTAATGGCCTTTCTTTAGTTCTAGTGTGTGTACCAGCAGACTTAGGCCAAGTTCCTAGATTTATCAGGTTAAGAAGTAAACAGTGTGAGGAAGTGATAACAATGCCTATTGTCAAAAGATAGAGCTTTTTCCACAGAAGCCACCCAAAACAAAAACCAAAAGGTGGACACAAGGCCAAAGTACAGACTGAGAATTTGACACCAGGGGCAGGCAGTAATGGTTCTTTCTTGGAACCACTTTGCACAAGCTCTCTTTAAAAAATATTGAAAATCTCAACCAAAGAAGAAAGCCAAACTTAATTGTGGACAGATTAAGCAGCGGTTATAAAATTAACAGAAACAGACAGTATGCAGCAGCTACAGACCAGTTGGTGTTGCCATTTGGGAGGCTGCAGATGGCTGTGGGTGGGAAATGCCTCTACTTTCTTAAGCGATGGAGATGAGTATGGTGTGTGTGCACTTGATGTTTTTTTCATACCCCCACCCCCCAACAGGGCTGTCTGTCATAGGCTGCCGGCCCGCTTTACCACTTGCCCCCGAGCGTGGGAATCGGAGCGTCCTGCCGTTCACATCTCCTGCATTCCGTTTAGCGGAATCAATTAGGCAAGACAGACCCTCAGATTCCCCACCCCCTTTCCATTTTTGTCAGGTCTATATACGTCCTAATTATTTCAGTTTGGGATGCCAGAGCTGTTTCCTGGATAGACCTGATCATCCTTAAACAAAAAGAGAGGAGGCGCACACGTGGGTTGTGGCGTAAATGTCACTTTCATTTCCAATGCTAGGCGCAGAGTAAGACAGAACATTTTTTTAACACTTTGACAAGAGGGGAGGCGATCTCGTCTCCATCATGTCTTTCTGCTTCAGTAGCTTCCTCAAGGAAACCCTCTTGGAACAGAGAAGCATCTGTCCTTGTATTTTGAATAGAAGAATAAAAATCAGCCTTTGCTTTTTTTTTTTTTTTTTGCATTTCCCTGCTAGTTCTATGTCCTTAGTAGCTATAAATTGTTAACCTTCCAGTATAAACTTTTCTGAAAGTCTAATTCATATAATTTGTCATACAACCCCAATACATGTAGTTTGGAGACATAATCTTCCAATTTTCAGGGGAGGGGGGCCCTCAGAAGGGAACTACATAAATCCACACATTATAGAATCATTTTTAAACTAAGTACCAGACAGCTCTACAAATAGCTTTCTAAAGAAAAAAAAACCTCATATGTAAACTTTTGCCTTAAAATAAAACAAACTGCACGTGCATCTTTTTACTCATTAGCTCTATACAATTCTCCTTTGCAGCTGTAACAACGCCTCTCAAAGTATCTGGCACCTTTATGTTTTGGTATATGTGTGCCATTTCACTTCCTCTAATCCCACCTTTAATTATAAGGGGAAAAAAAAACAAAAACAAAAACAAAAACAAAGTTAGATTCAATAAGTATTCCTGACCTTTCTGGTTTTTACTGTCTGTTGGTTGGAGGCTTTCATTCTCACACGCTGCCCGGCGATCTTGAAGGAGTTTTTACTTTCGGTTATCTAGCTTTATGAAGACCAATACACTCATACAGCTAGATAACCAAAGATAACAACTCGCTTCCCTCACACACCTCTGTCTTCCTCTGGCCGGACTCCAGATCCCGATCCTTTCTGGCAGTACCGAAGAGTAGTCCTCCAGGATACTTGCCGCGCATCAGATTCCTCCTGGTGTGTAAACATGACCTGGGTTCTGTTTGTGTGTGCGGCTAAAACATCCAAACGAGATCTGTGGCTTTCAAAGTTTATTCCGAACTTTTTTTTCCTTTCAGCAAGTAATCTCCGCCAGCGTTAGCCAACAATTCAACTATTAATATCAGAAAATAAAACCAGCTACTAAGGTGCAGCAAGCTGTTAGGAGTGAGCAGCATCATCCGTCCCTTCACCGGCCTCTATTTGCATTGTAAATTGCTTCATTCTCACGCAAGACTCTTTTGCCTCCCTCTATAAAGATGTATAAAGCCAAAGGCAATTTCCAGCGCAGGTTAAGGAGGAAGGAAAAAAAAAATCCCATTCTATAGAAGAAGTGACAGCTGATTCAGGGATCTGCTCCAGATCCTTTTGGGTTAGGCTTTTTTACCAAGCGGTGGCAGCTTGATTGCACATATCTTGTGTGTGTGTGTTTTAGGGGGAAGATCCTCGATTTCACAGGGCTTCTAGGCTGGGGAGAAGATGCCGTCTTGCTGGCGTGCTGCTGCCCCCGGTCTGAAAGAAGGAGAAAAGGGCCATCATTGGAGGGGCTTTCACTGCCAAAATGTGGACCAGCCCGGCAAGGTCAAAGGTTCGAGACCGCGGGAGACCAAGGTAATGATGATGTCATGAGAAATCTCAAGTACACGGTTATTGATATGCATCAGTGATCAGCCAACTGCCCCACGCCTGCTGCCCGAGCAGCGGCAGCCGCAGCAGCAGCAGCAGCGGCGGCAGCATTGCAACAAGCTCTCTTTCCTCAATCAACATCTCTTTGCTAGCACTACCGACTGCTCCTGGAAAAGCAACCCGCGGCCTTTTACCTCCGCACTGCTAGTGTAGATCGCTCTAATATCCAAAGACTGGAAGAAATCTCTCTCTAAGGACAGATAAAAGCATTTCAGATCTGGGGAACGTCTTTGCCTGCATTTCTCTTCTGGCAGATTGCATAGGCAGACAGATGGAAGGCACTTTGCTATTGCTTAAAGCAAGGCCTTGCTTTCTGGGGCTGGGAATCAGATCTGTATTACACAGTGAGTCGATGTGTGATTACATTGACAATTTGCTCTGGTGTTGTGTTTTTAATGGCTTCACAGCTCAGTCATGTTTGTATCTATGTACCATGGCAATAGGGCAGTGGATTTTGCTCTGTAAGTTCAAACTGGATGCTCTAAGCATGCCGACTTTATCTTTGTTGTTGTTGTTATTGTTGTTTTTAAATGACTCTATAACAGGATGTGCGTCTTTAGAAGGTTGCACAGGTAAACACTGCAGCAAGTTTCTAATTTTTATTATACAACTCTGCCGTCATAAAAAGGCTGAGCCTTTGTCTATAGTTTCAACCATCAGTTTTCATACAAATGGACAAAATACATTAATCTTGCTTATGAAGTTATGAAAAAAAAGTACTGTCATCTTGTGAAAAATAAAGGTAAAACACCTGGATGGTAAAAGCATTACTCTACCCCCCAACTCCCCCTCCCTTTTCCAACCCCCACCTTTCTTCTCTCTAGAGGGGTATATTGTTTTATTAATTAATTGGCCTCATTCCTTTCTATAGAACTTCTCAGAGTGTGAATATGATCACTTGAAAGAACTCTTCTGGCTCTCCTTTGAAATAGATAATCTACATCTATCACACCTATACCAAGTAGAGTTTAATAGATGTCCTTTACCAGCACATGTAAGCTACAGTCCATATACGCATATTCACCGTGCGTGAACCTTAGGAACTGTTTTCCAAAATTATGAGTTATGTTTAATGGTGTTACTATTCTTTAAAATATATGCTAAAAGCAAATGTCATAAATCTTCATATTCATTTCACACATCACTAGTTTATCACAATGCTAACATTTCTACTATAAGTTGACTATTTCCCCAAATGACTAAAACACTTTCAGAATTAATCCACAGTATTTCATTAATTCAGTAATTTATCCATTCAAGAGACAAATGTGAATATGTTTACCCAATTACATATAAAGCGTACACCCTATAGAAAAGAGTGACAAGAAAATCAGAATTGCGAAGAAATGTCCCCAACCAAGGAGTTCAAACAACAATATTACATCAATTGAAGATGTGATTCAGTAACATGGCTGCCAACTTTTCCCTAGTTATTTATTTATTTACTTCTATTGGTGAGTTCTTGTGCTCATTATTTAGAAAAGATTAAACTATAGAATCACTCATCTATTTTTCTCATCAAATTTTTGTATGAGAAGTACAATCAGAAATGGCTGCACTGGACTATATATAAAATGTACATGCAAACTACAAAACTAATTCAGGGAAACACACTCCCAATAGTTTCTTCTTGAACTGTAAGGTCATGAGATAAACTACTGGATAAGAATTGAACACATCACTGGGGCTCATGCCACTTTTGACATTATGTAAAGCCCTAATTAGCTTTGCTGCCTTGGAAAATTGAGAGTATTTTGGCCTTGCTTTCCAAGACCTAGAAACAGAATCATCTAGTGATTTGGCATGTATTATATAAAATAAGCATATGATCACATGAATTCAGTTCCTTAAAATCCCAAGAAATGCTAGATATTTTTAGAAGAGCTTTTTGCTTTATGTATGTTTGGATGGGGGTGGTGAAAGTAGGGAGATGTGACGCATGTATGTCTGTATGTGTGTATCATGCCATATTTGTGTGAATCTGCCAATTCATGTAGCTATATTTCCACATTTCACACTTAAGTACATTTTTAGACGCAAAGTAACTATCATGAAAGCCAAGACACTGAATATTTGAGGTGCTTCTACAATTAGAAGCTACAGAAGATACTGTCCTAAAATAGCATCTTTAAAGCAATGCCACATAATCATATCAACTGACTCCAGGACTGGCCCCATGCCTGTCACTTATATACTAGATTCATTATGAGAGCCCCTAAAAGTGAAAATAGCCAACAGAGTGATTACAGGCAGTCTGTTCATTAGCCACATAGCCAATTAAATATTCTACCTCTCCATCATCTTTCAAAATATGGAGAAACAAAAGATACATAGCAAGGCTTAACATTGAGCATCTGATTATTTTGAATATTACCAAGGTTCATATCATGGTTCATCATATACATTTCAAGGACCATATTATTATCTAGGATGTGAGACAAACTGAAATAATTATGCTACTCTACAGAGTCCTAGCAATATCTGTCACACATTGTTATGAGCAACTATTAACACCTATATGTTTTTATTTCAGATTTTTTTTTGCTATTCAAAAAAGCTATTTAGCTGAGCCAAGCGGAACCCCCTTTTTGAAATCTGCATATTGACGAATATACTGAATTCAGATGGCTAGCCTGCCCATACTCTAATAAATTCCCATTAATGGCCAGTAGATTAGGACGTGATTGTCATGCTTGTTTTCTAATCTTTTTATAGGTCTCCAGATGGCTGAAACATGAATTGAAACATCCTGGTTTTCTTGGGAATAAACAATGTCTGCTTAAGTTAAAAGTGAAAAGTTATAATTTTCCACATATTTGGATCAGAATTATGCTATTCCATAAATGAAAATACACCAGGTTTGCCACCAATATTGAGAATACTTCTCTGAATCCTATTCAGACTATCACAGAGAATATAAAGAATTGACCTATCACTGAAATCCCTTTTCAATACTGAATTTGTATGATTCTCATACATGTAAGCCACAGTCCACTAGTATAGTCAAGACTACCATTTTCTACATAAAAGCCATTTAATTTACAGCGATTTGTGTAGTTCAGGCAAGGTACTTGACTGGCTTACTTTCTAATAAAAGTGTCCCATTATTTCTTCTGTATCTCAAATTTCTCTTTATAGGCAGTTACAGGTTATGTTTGTATCATCCTTGATCTATAATATACAAAGGCTACCTATAGGGGAAAAACTGTACATATGGAAACTCAGATTTTTCTGGAATTTCTATCTATTACATGGAGTGGGAGGTACACTGCAGGCCTGCTACCCAGTAAGACATATTCTATTTTGATTTTGTACATTACTTTGATTTGTACACACAAATATAAAATTTTGAATTACCTTTGATTGGCTGGACTGTCTATTCATTTTATGCTTCTTTGTAATGTCATCTGAAAAATAGTCAAAAAAAAAACAAATGACCACAGTTTTAATATACATAAAATCATATATAGATTTGACTTCATTTAAAGTATTACAATGACCACGATTCCTTAAAATGCCAAGAGATTCCATAAAGCCCCAGTACAATGTGTCTCAGGCTTCAGTATTCACAGGGTTAAATATGCTAATTTGCATTTAAATGGAGACATGCATGATAATGGGAATGCAAAATATGCAGAATCTGGAGGGGTTTGGGAAATTAATTTTTTCTTTCTTCTTTTATTTTTAGCTTGGGAGGAGGAGAGACTCTTAAGAAACATTAGGGATTTGAACACTGTAACCTGCCATACAAAAGAGGAGGGAGAGTTCTTCCATATAAGAATTTTTAGGTTGGAATAAAGTGTATTTTCTAAATGTTTAAGGGACCGAATTTCCAGGCCTTTCAAACAATGGGAATCCCTGGATAAATATCTAATCCATTAGAAAGATGCAAATAGTTTACTGTAAGGCCACAGTACGGTGAGATGTGCATTCATATCTAAGGCTCCTGATTGGCTATTTCCTCCAGTAAATCAATGAATAATGTAAAACCTGATTGCTGTAAAGTGGTAGATTTTTTTATTCCTTTCCCCCATCCCCCCACGACTTAATATTCAAGAAGTCTTACACTCCCGAAAATAGGTAGCTTTCCTTTTATGATTTTTAAAATGCTTATTGTTATTTTAGATGGTGGGGTGGGGCTATTGGTTTGCAAAATGAAAGTACTGCACTGGTTCAATTATGCAGACTGTGGGAGCTTGTGGCCCGAGACAGCGCCCTAATTACTGGTGCCAAGGCGGGGAAGTAGTGTGTCGCGTATAGGTGGCACCAAGAGAGGGAAGAAACTGGACCCGACCCCGCCATTCAGGGCCCAAGGCAGCCTCATCTCCAAGAGTCCCCGGCCGTGGCCGTGACTTGACAGGGCCTCCGGTCTAACTTCTGATCAATTCCACTGCTACCCTGACCTCTCAAGACAGTTTCCGATTTAAGCACCGCGGGTACATTTGCAAGAGAAAATGCTACAGATACTAATGCAGATACATTGCCTGAGTTTCCACTGCCCAAGTTCCCTCAAAAAATTCCAGGCCACCGAGGAAGGTCTTGCCTCTGGGTCTGAGCTCAGCAAACCACAGAGAAGCGGCTCCTCTGGGATACTAAGCTTCTGAAGCCTAAACGCACCAAATTCCAATCTTGGCGAATCCGAACTTGGGGTAACCCTGTCACCCGCCTCCCAGAATCCAAAGGGCAAAGAGAAAAAGGAAGTAGAAACCCACCAAGTCTGGTTAGTCATTGCACATAAGTTTCTACCAGGATCCAATCAGACCCTCACTTCATTGCCAAGTAATTGCAACTTTGAGGTGGTTTAAAGAATTATTCAAAATGAGAATTCTGAAACCAGGAATACCAAACACAATTATATTTGGTTCTAGGTTTAAGAGGGAAAAGTCCCATCACCAACAACACAAAATTACATACAAAAATTCCCTTTCCAACGCGAAATTTTCCTGTCCTCTCTCTCCAATTTGGGGGGTCAGGCCACTGGATAATTAACAGTCCTGGTTCAGACACTCACGAGATCAACAGGTTTAGCAGCCGAGACACACAATCAATTAGCGGAAGCCAAGCGCAGGACTGGTCAGCCCGCGGCCCGCAGCGGGGTTCTGCGGGCACCGGCTCCCGGGCGAGGTGCGGAGCGCGGGCTCCTGGCCGCGGTGGGCACTGCTAGCCCTGGGCGGCGGGCCGAGTTCCAACCTGAAGGCCGCCACGATACTCACTTGCTCTCATGCCTGCACCAGGCAGTGTTGCCCCCCAAATCCAGCTGGGCAGGAATCGAGGCGCCGGCCAAAAGACAAGATCCAGAGTCACAGGGCGGCTGCAGTACACAAACAGGCTCCTTTTGGCGTCTCAAAAAAATTTTTTTTTTTTTTTGCAGATCATCCCTCGCCTTAACACATTTAAAACTGCCGCTCAATTCCACACGGTGATTCTTCCTTGATTGCGTCTAAAATAGTTTAAACGGTCCTTCCCTTCTGGGAAGAGAGAGAACGGTGCAAAAGACGAAGGAGGAAAAAAAGCCAACTTTTCCCCCCCACGTCAGGTACTTGCTCCCTGAGCCTCGGAGTGGAGAGTGAAGTGGTGTGTGCGAGGCTCGGCAAGTTTTTGGGGGGGCTGTCCAAGGTCTAGTCCAGCCCCCTCTGCCGAGGAGGACGTGCTCTGAAACTCAACCAATTTCCCCACTGCTTTTGTTACTGATGAACTGAAGCCCTATTGTTCATCCATTGCCACGGTCTTTTTCAGTCCCCACACTACGTTCTGCGTTGCTAGAGATAATGAATTTGCACCCAAACCTCTCATAGTCCCCTCCTGACAGACGGAACAAATTAGAAATGTCTCGTCTGAAGGAGGGCAATGGCTACATTTTCCTATTGAACGACGCAAAGCACACATTTCTTTGGAAACTTCTTTTGCCTTTTCTACCTTTTATTTTCTTCTCCCTCTTTTTCTTTTTCCTCCAGTTTCCCCCCACCCCACCCCCCGATTTCTTTAGACTCATTTTTATAAAAAGAATAGCCCCGGCTTGTTTTCCCAATGCATCATTTTATGTAACTTGTGGATCCTTTCTACCTTCCTTCTTCCCTTTCTTTTTTTAAGGATTCCCTTTGCAATTTTATTTACAAACTTGGAAAATGACCTTTTGACTTGCAGACTTTTTTTTAAAAGAAAGGTCTTTTGGTTCAACTCCCCCTTCCTCACTCCTCCCACTGTTTTTGTTGTGGTTGTTAAATGTGTTTGACTAAAGACAAGAAATACATTATAAAGATTTTTATTCTTTTAATTCCAGCGCTATTCAAAAGGTACCAGGGACGCGCCATAGGGGTTATCTATTTGAGGGAGAAGAAAAAGAGTGAGGGAGTGTGTGTGTGTGTGTGTGTGTGTGTGCGTGCGCGTGTGTGTTTTCCAGAGAACGGCAGAGATGTGGGAGGATGTGGGTGGGACTTTTCAGGGAGAGAAGGGTGGGGGCCTTGAGGGGAAGGTGGGCTTCCTGGAACACGAGCCAGGAGGTTATCAGGGGTGCAGGCGCGAGAGGGAGGGTGCCGGAATCCTTCGCGCTTTGGGAGACTGGCGCCCCGGGGCCTGTTCGCGCGCCGGGGCCAGCCGCAGCCTGGGCGCGGATGTCTGAGCGCGCGGGCGCTCGTTCCGAGCCTGCGCGCGTGCAACCGGGCGGGGGTGGGGGTAATAAATTCCAGAGAGAAGCCCGTATGTAAATGCGGCGGGAGCCGGGGTGGGGGGAGCGGGAGGCGGTAATGAGAGCCTTGGGCGCACAGCCCCGCCGGCGGCCCCCAGCTTTCCCGCCAAGTGCAGCCGGAGGACAGACAGCCATGCGTGTCCTTGGCGGGAGGGCCCCCGCCCGCCGCGCGCGCCCGCCCCCCGCGCACACGCACAGTTTTTTCCTCTCGGAGGCGTGGGGCCCGGTGGCCACGAGCAAATCAGGAAAACAAAGCTCTGGCTGCGAGGTGCAAAGAAGAAACGGCAGCCTTGGCGGCCAAGGGCAGGAGTGGGAAGCCCACCCAGCGGCCTCCCTTCCTGGCCAGCCGGGCGGCTCTGCCCTCCGCCCCCGGCTTCTCGCGGCCGGGGCCCAGAAGAGGCCGAGGACCATTTCTTAGCTGCTCAGAAGCCGCTGGCGAGCAGAGGCGGGGGCGGATGTGCACAGGGAGGTGCCGGCGACCCCCGCCTGCTACGCGGGCACGCACACGCCGGCGCGCAGAGCCCGAGCGGGGGCGCCTGACGGCCTCGCTGCCCGGTGGCCGCGCGCCGCTGCCTTCCACTGAGCTTCAAGTGCAAACACGCCAGGCTGAGCCCCGCCGGGCGGCACGGCCACGGAAGGGCTCGCCTCGCCAGCCCCTCTCCCCGCACCAGGTAATCGGAAGGGCCTGGCTGTGCAGAGCGCGCCTTCTCTGAGCGCCCCCTGCACCCGGGGGAGACTCGAGCTCCAGTCCAGGAATTCTGGCCTGGGGGCCCCCCGCAGTTAAGGCGCAAACCTGGCTGCGGAGAGATGCGCTGATCTCTTCTCCCGCTCCTGCGCCTGCCTCGGCGCTCCCCAGTACAAGCATCTCCCCAACACGCACACTCACACGCACTCACCCACACACACACACCCCACTTCCACGACATGAAAGCACACGCTAATGGCATGATTGTTAATGAATCCGACGCGCACAATGAGGACAGGTAAAGAGGTACCGACACGAGAAGCCCCCTCCAGTCGACTGGGCGGTTTACCTCTCCCGACTGGAAACACGTGTAACTTAGCGTGTTTTAGGAATGATTTGCTGTTGTCTGAGGTCTCCCCCCCCCCAACCCCCCCCCCCCGCCTTCTCGCCTTGTGGGAGAAGAGGAGGAAGGGAAAAAAAAAAACAACAAACCCAACACGTTCTATTGTCAGAGTCTCTTTCTGATGAGCTGCCCAAGCATTGGTCTAAGACATTTGGGGTTTGATTGGGTTTATGATCTGTTGCTTTGGTTCGGGTGTTTTTGTTTGTTTTTTTCTGAGAGAAGCAAAAGGACGTGTTTTGGGTGCAGCCGGAGGCGCAGGACACGAGCCCGGGCGCGCGGACGGAGAGCCGGGGGGCTGGAGCCGGCGGCGGGGCGGGGAGGCGGCGGCCCGGCTCCCCCGGGGCTGGCGCGGGCGCCCTCGGCCCTCTCGGGCCTGGACTCGGCCGCCGCGACGCAGCCGCCCGCGCGCGCGGGCTCCGCCGGCTGCCGCTCCGTGTTTTCCCCCATCCCGGCTTCACGTTCAAGGTTTAGCTGCGAGGTCACGTCCATTGACGTCAGCTCCCTGTCTCCCTCTACGTCCGGCTACATTTACATACATCAAGGAAATTAGGGCATTAAAAAAATATGCAAATCCTGCGCGAAGAGCAGCCCGTGCATTCCTGGCGCGATCGCCTTTTATTGAAGCTTTTAATTAAAGGGGCCAGTTGGCGAGCCCCTGAAACAACCGCCAAAACCCCCAAAAGAGAAAAATAAACGCCTTAGCCTTCGGGAACGGTTGTTTCGGCTCCTGTTCTGTGGGCGGCTGAGGACCGCCGGCTGCCCGGCTCGGAGAAGAACAGGTTAGAGGAGGCAGCTCCAGCCCATGCATAATCAGGGCTCCGAGGCGCCTCCATTCTTTCCTCCTCCTCCTCTCCTCCTCCTCCTCCTCTCCTCCTCCTCCTCCTCCTCCTCCTCCTCCTCCTCCTCCCGCTCCTGCTCCTGTTGGTTCCAGCGTGTATTATTTTTAATACTGATGCATATGTAAAGATATATTTGCATTTTTTAATTCGCGAAAAGTTCAGGTTGGATCGTTTTATTGATTCTACACCCCCTCTTTTATTTTGCTGTCTTATTATGTCTATCTGTCTCTCTTGTACCTTTATGTCTGTCTTTATTTTTTGGCGAGTGTCTGCTGCTGTCTCTTGCTAGATAATATGCCTCCCTGCTTCTGTTTATTTAAGGCTCCAAATATGCGCATCTGTCATGTATGTAATGCCAGCTGTGTAACCTCCTGGTTTGGTTATAAAAAAAAAAAAGACACTTTATTTTCTTTCTTGACATACCCTCACCATCGGCTGTGATGCCCGTCGCTCAAGGCTCAAAGTTTGTCTAATTAACTTCATATTAGCAAAAAAAAAAAAAAAAACAGTTCCGGCCAGTGCATTTGAGAGACTGTTGGTATAAAGGGAAGTGATTCTAAAGATTTCTAAAGAATTTCTGTGTGATTAACTGAGAGGTATCGCATACACCGCCCTATTGCTTTCTAGCATTTCTTATTGCCGCCCCCCCCTAAATATTTTAAAATGTGTAGACACAGCAATGGACAGCCTTCTGCAAGGAAGACATTTTCAACCATGTTGTATGTTGTACCTTATTTGCTGTATTCAACATTACTGAGTTTTCTTTTTTATCTTAATATGGCTGGATGTAAGACCATTATCTTGGCTGAAAAGACACCTAATTCCTGATTTTGAAATGAAAACAAATAAACATAGCATTAGACTATATTAAGTCAGTAGATTTGTCCTAAAATATACAGGCCTTAAGTTAGATTTCAAGCAATGTTTATAGTGTCCATAGGATCAGATTTTCCTTCCTGGCAATATATTTGTTCAGCACAATGGCTTTTGAGAAATCTTATATATGCATGAAGTCCACTTTTTAAATTCCCCCAAAGCTATCATTTTTAAAAGCCTGAATCCATAATTGCATGGCCACAAAGAACAGCAGAGATGCACACATGCAGCTTATTGAATTAAACAAGTCCAAGTACATGCACAGGTAATTAGTTTCTTATGAATGACTTACCTGCTCAGATACTCAGGGCAAGACTCAACCCTCCCCAATGACTTTCATGTATAAATATTCACATGTATTTCCCCCCATTTCAAACCTACAGCTATATGCCATCTTTCATGTAGGCTAGCCAGCATCCATTTTTAGCACCCTTAATTCTTATGGCATTTCCAGCCTTACCTCCGGCTGTAGTTTTTCCAAGCCTACACCAAAGTGCTCATATGATATGTCACTCAATAAAAAGTGGTCAGATGGCTACATGTAAAACATTAAAACGAAACACACTCATCCTTTAGGTTCACCTTTCCCTTGCTATACATAGCAAAATTATGTTTCCTAAAGTACATTTCCAGCAAATTTTATGAATAATTGCAAGATTTCACAACTGGTTTCAGAAATGCCGAATGGGGTGGGGGTACCTGGCTTAGTGAAACAATTCGGCAGGTTAAATGTCTCTTCGAGTTTGACTGCGATTCAGTCGTGCGTGGCGGTTTGTTCCAGCCTGGACTTTAGCACATACCTGCCCGCCTTTATGCAGGGATCAGGACAAACACACCCGCAGTGTTGCAGGGCGTAGAGTGGCGGTGCATATATTTAGATGGTAGTAGCAAGGAATGTGTGCATGTACTGATGTCTGTGCATGCATGTGTGTACAGACCCGCGTGTGTGTATGTGTGCGCGCGCGCGCGCGCGCGCTGTGTGACAAGGGACACGGAAAGGTACACCTCTTATCTCTGATCTCGCTGTAATCTCCTTTTCTGTTCCTAATCTCCCTTATTGGCGCATGGTAGTAACCTGAAGCATCTGAACCATCACCGTCACTGCCCTTTGCGCGCTGTGGCTTACCCCAGGGGCCGGTGGCTCGGTGGCTCGCTGGTTCGGTGGATGCTGTGGCGGAGGGTGGGTAGCGCCGCTGCCACCACCGCCGCGGGTCCGGGCGCTCTGTCCCAGCCCGGCAGCCGAGCGCGCGGTGCCGGAGCCCCTCCACCCCGCCCTCACCCCCATCCTCCTCTCCCCTCCCTTCCGCGCCTCCCCCCCCCCCGCCCCGCATTACCATATGGAGGCTGAGTCCCTGCGAATCACAGCAGCAGCGGGCGGCATTTGAATAAGCCCCACAACCCGGCACAGACCCCAACTCCTCCGCAAGCTGCATGACCTGCACCAAGGGCCACTGCTCCCGCGGTAACCTGGCTGCGGTCGACGCCTCCCCTAAGTGCCCTGGGCGCACGGGAGAAAGGGTGTTGGGCCTCCCACTTGCTACTTTTATATTAACTTGACTGATAGGATCAAACAATAAATGGGGGGGAAGAGACAGAAATAAAAAGGGGGACAGCAAAAGGGGGGAGAAAGAGTGACGAGGGCAAGAGAAAGGATAGGGGAAAAAGAGGCGCGGGGTGGGGGGGCGAGAGGGAGAGAGAGAGAGAGAGGGAAAGGGGAGAAAAGGGCAAATGAGCCCAATGGGTTGAGTGAAAGAGTAAAATGGGAAGAGAGTGGGAAATGGTGAGAAAGGGCGAGAGATCCAAATATCTGGATTTGGACTTTGCAAGCTAAAAATACCACCTCACTGAACTTGACCTCCAATTAAACACGTGCCCCCCCCAACTTAACCAAATGATTAATTTGTCGTCTCAATCAGAAATAATTATTTAGAATTGTATAACAGAGTATTTAACAGAAAGAAGTGAGATTTATGAAAAACAGCAAAGGGCAGTGACATTTAAAGACGATACTGGCCACCTCGTTGGAAAAAACGAAGGCTTGTCTTGAAGACCCAGACTCTGATGTCCAGCCTTGTTCTCTGAGATAGTGAGACCTCGACCCAGACTTAGGAACCAGATATGTTCCAAAAGATTTTGGACTTAAAGTGAAAATTTGTCTACCATGGTCTTTGCTCTTTCATTGTTACATTTTTCTTCACGAATTGATTACTTTCAGATCCAGATAGTGTGCATCTTTAAAAAAAAAAATTCCTCCAAATTGTCCGCACATCTTAACTGAAGCTATGATTACAAACGTTGGTTTAAATACATAGACGGTTCCATTTTGGATCCTAACCCAGTAACTCAAGGTTCTGAATTTAGAGTACTCAACGTGGCCTCTCCTCCCTAGCTTCAAATCAGAGCAGTGATTTCCCTGTACAAAACAATCAGAATCATAATAAAATCTCCAGTCACCTATAGGATGTACCCAATGTAAATGCCCCTATTGGTACTCATAAGCCAGACCCCCCTCCTTTCGAGACATACACACAAAAACAACGCTACTGATTAATAATCTCGTACGCGGCACACTGAGGCTGCAGGCAGAGAGCCGCAGGACGCCAGGGAAGGGCGCCGAATTATCAATACCTAGAATTTCAATACAGATTTCAAAGACGCGCAAACTGCTAGTTTTCGAATGGGAATAATACTTGGCAGCAATGCTTTCGGGAAGGACAATCATCCAAATACTGACTTCTCCATGGGCCGGGCATGAGGGACTGTAGCGGTTACCCGGCATTTCTGCGGGCAGGCGCGTGTGTAAGATGGCATGTAGCTCACGCATGTTGCCAGGCCCAGGTTTCATTCTTTCATTTTATTCTTTTTCTTCTATTTTTGCGGCTAGAAATTGAAACCAATCCACTTTTTTTCTGTGGCTAGCTCTCACGAAGCTGGGATTTCAACCTCTTGTTTGTTTTTAAGGCCCGTGTGGAGCCCGGTTGACTGCCCCGACTGGGAATGTTACCAGGATGCTCCCAGTGCCCGGCCTCTGCCAACAGCACGTGAGCAAGGAGGGAGACTGGTGACTGCGAGAGAAGCGGGGGCTTTGGGCCACTTCCGTCGGGGCCCGGAGTTTCGCCCAGCAGACCCCTCCTTTTTTTCTCCCAGAGGATGTACCCCTAGGTCCGCCTTTGTTTCAGCAGTAGAGGCCAGGTGAGCGAGGGGACGATCCCGGGGTGCAGCGGCCCTTTCTTGGGAGCTCAGGCGGGTATGTGAACCCGCAGGGAACCGAAGGCGGAGTGGCGCTGGGGGCCCGCGCGGGGCTCCTGGCTCCGGCCAGCAAGGGGACAGCGACACCTACTGGCCGCGTGGGCACCGTGCGGGGACCGTCGGGGCGGCCCTGGCCTGGGTTTGACCAGCTGCTTGGACTTGGGAGGCCACAAGAATCTCTGTCTAAGGTCGGCCCGCCCCTCTCCGCCTTGCCAGTCTCGGAGAAGGCGAAGGCTCCTCTACTACAAGTCCCTAAGGGGACTGGAGGGTCGGATTGAACACTCGGGGGCATACACACCCTCCAATCCGAGGCTTTTTCTTCTGGGGACCCCAGGGACTCTTCAGACGCCGTTGAGCTCTCCTGGTTTTCTGAGAGACCCAGGAGGAGGTTGGAGCACTGACCTCCTTGGGTTCATGACCCACCCCTATTTCAGAGCTAACTAAAGATGATATCTGTGCAAATTAGGAACCAAGGAGAGTTCATTATCGTCCCTTAAAAGGGGAAATGTGCGAGTTCACGACACAGCCACCCAGTGACTGGCGCCAGGCAAACGAACCAGCACAGCCCCACTGCTCGCCAACCTTGGGCACCTTGAGTGCGCCTTCGCTGCCAGAGAGGGAAATTTGGTCGCTTTCTTTAAGCATTTACAGTCTGCTTAATGACACCGGAAGTAAAGGCAAATTTTGGGTGTGGTGCTATTTTTGAGACTTAGGAGTACACACTCACACACACACACACACACACACATAAATACTGCTAAAGGGAACTGTTTCGGCTTCAGTTGGAAAAGATGGGAATGTTAAAGAATGGCGAGACTCAAAGAAAACCCAGCAAAGATGAGAGAAAGAA